GAGGGGGAGGGAGAGGGGGAGGGGGAGGGGAGGGGAGGGAGAGGGAGAGGGAGAGGGAGAGGGGGAGGGGAGGGGGAGGGGGAGGTCCAACTTTAGGTTCATCTTTGCTGCTGGCGCGGGCCTGGTTCTGTCATGGAGCAAACGAGAAAATATTCGGATGAGGTTGCTTACTTGTTTTTCGCAACTCTCAAAGCATGGATTTTCCCACATTGAAAAAATCTTGGCAAGGAACTTGTTTTGACTACGTTGTACGTGCTCGAGAAGCTTGAGTGCGATGTCATGAAACCCCCTCGATGACGAGAGTGCACTGTATAATACATTGCCTCGGAAGCAAAGAAAGAGCGCATTTCCTGATCGCCAGTTAAACAGTGTCTGTCGAAAAAATGAAAATAGTTGATAGTCGAACATTCTGTTCTTGACAGTTACCAGGCAGGGAACGAAATCTATCGCCAGGAAACGGGACAACAGCTGATCGAGGGAAAGGAACAATCCCAGGTACGTGGAATTTAACACTGTCCACGGGATATCGAGTTCGATTTCGTTAATTGTCTTGATTTCTCGTCAGGTGGTCCGAGGCCAGTACTCGTTCGTGGGCGAGGACGGACAAGTTTACACGGTTCGATTCGTGGCGGATCGATTCGGATTCCGACCAGAGGGGGTCCATCTCCCTCGTCTGCCCGTCAATATCGTCCGGGATTCGAACAACGTCCAGTCTTGATGTGCATCGTTCGTTCCGTGCCCATTCTTGTTGCTGATTCCGGAGTTCTCTTGCTGGGAATAAACCAAGTCGAGTCGGGGTCGTCGTTCTGGGATTGGCACGGGTCCAAGGGGCTGGTGTCATACGTGTAAATACTTTCTGATCGAAACACCATGCATGGAAAGGGAGGCTGCGAGTAAAAAAAAGAAGAAAAATCGTGCTTCAAAAGCGGGCTAGGAACGAATCTGGATCATGGCACGGGTCCTTCAACTATTTCTGCCTGAGGTATTCTTGCTCGGAAGGCTGAACAAGAGCGTTTGCAATTTTACGAAAACGCAGTTTTGAATGGATCCTGACACTTTCTTAATTTTTTAATTTGATTTTACCTAGTGTATGCCTATGAAGTATTAGATGGACATTATAGACATTATAGGCAATGAAAAATCATTTTTCAAAAATTCTAAACAATATACAGTATACAAAATTTCCGAATCATATACCTCTGCGTTAATTTATATGGTCACACTATCTGCATCATGACTGCCACGATGCCTTTTTCAAAGCTTGGTCTTTGAAAACAAACAACAAACAAGAAAAAGAAATTGCAGAATTCTCGACCTGAAATTTCCTTCTCTATCGCCGAGTCTACGCATGAATTATGTAAAGTTGAAATGCGAAAACATTTTTCAACGGTTTTTCCTCTTTCTTCACCCCCTCTGCTATTTGGGGAATGTGTTGAGCACTTCCAAAATCCTCGACGAATGACCCAAAATCACAAGAGCAATAAATAGCTAATTGCCAAGCAGATTCGTCTTTGGGAATTACAAGGCCTAAGCTCAGTCAAAGGACTCCCTTCGGGCGAAGTCCAGGTCTACATTTTTTTTTCGAACAGGGGAAACCTCTTCTCTCGAGTTACGGTGCATTTATCATCGATTCATCTGAAGTTCTTCAAACCATCTCGAAGAGGACCTTCAAGGACAGACTGCATAGCTGCCTGCGAAGTTCAAATAATCGTTGCGACCATCAGTCGGGGATATCCACGGCACGTCCATAATGGGGTCACATCGATCACCCACCGCTAAGCACGGCTTCTGTTTCTCCTCGTTCCACGAACTCGTTAGGGTAACGTATCGTGCGTTGCGAACGGACGATTCGGGGAACCGATGAAGGCGGGATCACGCTTCGATCAGACGAAACTCCGGAGCGATATCCGACAATCGCGATGATGGAGACGAGAGTTCCCACGAAAGCGTAAAAGACCAACAAATAATATTTGTCATCGCGAAATGGTGTAACAGAAAGGGCGCGGCTCTCTATCTACAAACTCACTTCTTTCTTTTGGTTTTGGCATCTTCTCCGAAAACTCCCTAGGTCAAAGGGAGTGAATGATGGAGAGAAAGTGAGAGAGAGAGGGAGAGAGAATGAGAGGGAGTGAGAGGGGGAGAGAATGAGAGGGAGTGAGAGGGAGAGCAAAGGAATGAAATTCACAGGCTAACAATAGAAACCCGTTTTCTTCATACCTTGGGAGAATGAGCTTCAAATGTTCTGGAATATTTTTTTTAGAGGGTATCAAGCACTCTCAAGTTTAGATATTCAATTTCTCTCAGGGAATACGAGACCGTTGGTTTTGAGACGGGAAGGGTTGAAGAAAAAGGATTTAAGCGGATGTTGGGCCGTCATGCACTTTGAAAATTGTTCAAAATAAATATTATTATTCATGATGAAGATTGATAAATGAAAAGCAGAACCAAATTTATATAAAATGGGCCGAGCGCTCTTCTCAATGCCAGCAAATGTACCCGGCGGGCCAAAAAGCCGGACAATTTCCAATGATGCACTTCACTCACAGCGTGTACTTTAATTTGAATGCATTTTTTTAAAGCGGCATTTGAAAGCGGAGTGAACAGGCTCTAAAATGGTGTGCGTACGTGTCAAATATCATCAACAGTTTCATAAATTCTGGAGCTCATATAAACAAAGAAGAAAAAGAGCGCAGCCTCAGACGCAGACGCAGACGACATTTGACCTTCAGCCGTCGCCTGTCGACCGGTGACAACGTAGCTTTTGCTTGGTGCAGATTGGAACTCCTGAATTTTTGATACTGCTGAAGATGTTTGATATATAATTAGTACACCATTTTAAAGCTGGTTCATTCCTCTCTGAAATGCCGCAAACCGCATTAAAACATATGGAGTGAATGTAATATCGTTGAAACTGTCATGTTTTTTAGGCCCACCGAGTATAAGGATTAATGACTAAAAGCCGGAATCTAATGGCGTATGATATAGTCGGACGTCTACAGCTTTGAAACTCCTCTGTCGGGATTTCTTCGTGTATGTTAATGTTATAGAGATGTCTCAGGATTGGTGACGCCACTCGACCTAATCGAATCGACAAGATGGTGTATGATGGGATCGCTGATTAAAATTGTGCCGAATTGCTCCTTATTTGCAAAAAATCTATCCTAGGGTCAACAGCCTCATAACCCAGGAGATCTGCGCAGTGAAACAAGGAAAACCATCTCTTCCCCTTCTTTCTGCCTCAATCTATTTCCGGCTCTGCACTTTTGAACGTCTGCTCTTTTTTTGGATGGAGGGGTGACGGTGGGACATTTTCCACCATCACTAAAGTTAATAATGAAGGGAAAAACGGTGTCTTACTTCCTGAGGTGCATTGAGCACGGTGAGATGATAACCCAATGGAAAGGCATTCCCGAGGGCCACGGCCACGACTGTGACTAGGATCCATGTTCTTTTCGGCTTCTTTTCTTCCTTCACGCACAAATTTTCCTCCGTTTCCTCCTGCGGCAAATTGCAAAATGTACGCAAGCGTACGTTTTTCACTCCGTAAAAGCGGAGATCGATGATCAGCTGATTCTGCACAGCCGTAGCTAACATCTAGGCAGAGGATAGGGTAATGCAGTATCAACATATGGGAAACCCTGGCTCGTTCACTGGTAAGGAATTCGCCTTTTGCTTGCACGTGTCGGGCTAATTCCTACCGGGAAAAAAGGTATTTACTCTTGCCTTTACGCATTTATATTTACTCTTGTTTTCACGCATCTATTCGAATAGTCGTTTTCTCGGCCTCTCCCAGACATGATACTTTGAAACGACCGACCTTTCATGCGTAGAAAATGAGACTCACAGTGAACTGCTGAAGAAGGGGGCCAACAGAAGAGGCACTTGGCTTGGAAGTCAGCATCGTGGGAGGCTCGTGCCGAGGTGATCCGAGGGAGAATGGGAAGTGCGACAATCCTACGCTAGATGTCACGGCCGACTCCCCCACCATCGATCTGACGACTCGCTAGGGATGCCAGATTCTTCCTGTTCCGACACCTGTGTGAAGGGTTCTTGTCGTCATCTGTGAATGCTACCGAGTTCTTCTGCTTCCTTTAACGAGCATACTTATATTTTGTACGGTTTAGCGCAAATGGGGTGTGAAGGGATGAACGTTGGCCACGATCCAGAATAGTGGTTGCCATGAGGAAGTCTCATGTACTCCATGAACTCTCCAGGCACATGATCCACGTCGTGATTCTGACTAGTGCGAAGGATCAATAGCAAATAGCCATTATGGCTATTGACTCATCGTAAACCTCATATATGCATGACTATAGCGTTGCATATCAGTTGACCAATACTTCTTGGCAAGCTTGGATCGGAGAGCGTGGGAGCTAATATTCCTTTTTAATTTCTCTCTGGGCGATTTGGAACTCGACATTTCCGTTAGAGATGACAGTCTCACCGTACCTCACAAAAGCTCCCTTTTCGTTCAATTAGTTCACTCTGACGGTAATTCTCTTTGCATGAACGACAATGAAGCTTCGCAAAAAGCCATACCACATGATGGAACGAGAAAAAAAGAAATTGAAAAAAAAGGACCAAAGAACGAAGCATGAAAGCGACGAAGTGGCAACACAGAAAGGCACGAGAGAGAAAAGGCTCGAGTGATCGGCATAGAGGCGCTGCGACATATCAACACAGGATGCGCGCACAAGGACGTTTGTAAAAAGGCTTCCTCGTGAGCACTCAGCTATCTCTACATTGCCAGAAGCACCCTGTCATTCAGTGTTCGTGAAAGCCTCTAACCAAAATGACTCGCTTCTTCCTCGTCGCTTGTGCCGTGTCCTTTATCGGTGAGGATTTTCGACCCCCAAATACGAATCAAAATTTGCGAGGCGGGATTACAAGAACTCTGGAAAACTCATGCTCCTGAAATGCATCCGAAGGTCACGTTTAGTTGGACGCAATTGAATTACTCTGTTGATTCGTAGGGAAAGCAGTTGGGATAACTCACGAGAGCACGAAGAAGCTGAAAGACACTCTCTTGCAGGACTACGACTCCCTCGTTCCACCAATACCGAGCGATGGGAAACCGGTCTCCGTCAGACTGGGGGTAGTCGTCATCAGCTTTCGCAGGGTAAGAACGACCTCGTCCCTTTCCTGCCGAAATCAACATTTCCTGCCAACTTTGAACCGTGTTCCAGGACGACCTGAAAGGCGAGGCGATCTGGCACCTCTGGTTGCGCTCAGTGAGTTCAGACACATTCACCTCCTTCACAAAAGCCCACCTGCCAAGCGGATTTGGAATCAGGTGGAACCTTAGCGTATTTCCACCTGTTGAAGCGATGCTCACCTGGTTAAAAAGTCACCCGGGGGAACATCCACCTGGCTCGAGAAGAACGTGTGCGAATGACCAGGTGGATTTCCATTGGGTGGGACATCCACCTGGTTTCAAATCCACCTCCTATCCACCTGGTCTTTCAGCCAGGTGGATGCAGGTGGACGTTTTGTTTTGGCTGTGATCGATGGGCGAAGCCGGACGTGTCGACGGTGAATGCCTGTTGGGTTGCAGAAGTGGAACGACGAGCGATTGATGTGGGAACCCTCGGATCACTCCAACATCAGCACGCTGAGAATGCCTTCCGATAAAGTCTGGATCCCCGACATCACGCCTTATAACGAGTGAGTGCTGAAATAGAGCTTCTAGGATCGGTCTTTGTCCATCGACTCTGTTCCTCGTCGGAGAGTCAGGAATCTGCCGCATTGAGCTCTCAAAACAAAAATATGCTCTCCAGCTCTAGGGTTCCTTTTCATCGAAGTCAATTTCCCCGGTGTTCGTTCTCGATTAGCTACAGTCCCAAAGAAAATATACGTATACCCGATAGTACGATAATCGTAGTCTTTGCAAGCGAAAGAGGCAGAAAGGAACAAAACCCGTTCAATGGAAANAGACCCTCGTGGAATGCCTTCAGAGGTGCGTTTGTTTCCTTACGGATTCTGCCAACGTTGCTTGGACGGCTTGAAAGGTTGAAGATCCTGGAGATGACGACTCGCGATGTTCTGGACCTGGTCGTAGACACATCTAGCAGGAATTCTCTGAAGACGAAAATCCTCTTCGCTCGATTCATCTCCGACATCCGGGAGTCTTCCGGGCCAGACAAGCTCGGATTGGATGGGTCGCGGCCGGATGCGCCGGACGAACGAATACTCGCTCACGGGAAGAAGATTCAGGCTTTATTTTTTGCCCTCAATTTTTTTTTCGTGGCCTTCTTTGCAGAAGAAAGTGCATTTACGATGAAGCCCTGAGAAACTCTGTGGCTGCAGCTCTTATACAACGATACCAGAATGAAGGTTGAGCGTTAAGTAGCACTCGCGCTATTCGCATTCGACCTCTAAGACGAAATTAAGGAATCGCTTGAATGAGTAAAACCGGCTCGAGGGATGGATTTTTTTTTCCTTCATAGAGATGGCTACGCTTCTCCCACCGCGCAGATTGCGGGAAATTGCTCCGTTTTGTGACTAAGGAGTGCACAGCGCCGGGAACGTCGGCGTCTCATAAATTGGAGGGCTCCGAGGCTCGTCGCCCGCCTTGAGCCTTCCATCTGGCTGGTGTCAAAAGACCGAATATATAACGCATTCTCCCAAGTTTGTCAAGCAGTGGAGGTCGGGGAACGGCGAAGGTCAGACATCGGGATGCAATCGCTCCAGACTCTTTCTCGTTGTCGCCTGCCTCGCTTCCTTTCCTTGGTGAGAATTCTCCACCTTTCAGTTTTCGTTCTCGGTCGAGTGATTCACAGTTCGTCTTGACTTTCTTGATATGTCGCAGGGGGGTCACGAAGTGCACTGCCCGAAAGCATGGCTTTTTTGAAAACTCGGCTGCGAGACTACGATCCCGTCATTCCGCCGCCTGTCCGGAAAACAATCCTGTCAACTGATGACGAAACTGCATTGCTCCAGTATTGGCACTACAAGGAAAACAAATACAATACTTCATGAATTTTATCGGTTGCGGAATGCATGAGCTGAGATTTCCGTGGAAGTTGATACTTAAGCTTCAAAGTTACATCTTCAAATTCGAAGCAGAAAAATCTCCTTCTGAACTACAGTGGCTTGCGGGATTTTTTTTTTTCACCTCGCAAAAAGCCGTACTACACGATGGTCCGAGAAAAAACGAAACTTAAGAAAAAGAACCGATGAACGAAACATGAAAGCAACGGAGTGGCAATGGCAGACACGGAAAGGCAAGAGAAATAAACGGTTCGAGTGATCGGCATGGAGGTCCTGCGACATATCAGCACAGGATGTGCGCACAAGGACGATTGTAAAAGGCTTAATCGTGAGCACTCAGCTGTCTCTACGTTGCCAGAAGCACCCTGTCATTCAGTGTTCGTGAAAGCCTCTAACCAAAATGATTCGCTTCTTCCTCGTCGCTTGTGCCGTGTCCTTTATCGGTGAGGATTTTCGACCACCAAATACGAATCAAAATTTGCGCGGCGGGATTACAAGAACTCTCGAAAACTCATGCTCCTGAAATGCATCCGAAGGTCATGTTTAGTTGGACGCAATTGAATTACTCTGTTAATTCGTAGGGAAAGCAGTTGGGATAACTCACGAGAGCACGAAGCAGCTGAAAGACACTCTATTGCAGGACTACGACTCCCACCTTCCACCAATACCGAGCGATGGGAAACCGGTCTCCGTCAAGCTGGGGGTAGCCGTCATCAGCTTTCGCAGGGTAAGAACGACCTCGTCCCTTTCCTGCAGAAATCAACATTTCCTGCCAACTTTGAACCGTGTTCCAGGACGACCTGAAAGGCGAAGCGATCTGGCACCTCTGGTTGCGCTCAATGAGTTCAGACACATTCACCTCCTTCACAAAAGCCCACCTGCCAATCGGATTTGGAATCAGGTGGAAACTTAGCGTATTTCAACCTGTTGAAGCGATGCGCACCTGGTTAAAAAGTCACCCGGGGGTAAAATCCACCTGGCTCGAGAAGAACGTGTGCGAATGACCAGGTGGATTTCCATTGGGTGGGACATCCACCTGGTTTCAAATCCACCTCCTATCCACCTGGTCTTTCAGCCAGGTGGATGCAGGTGGACGTAATCCACCTGGCTCGAGAAGAACGTGTGCGAATGACCAGGAGGATTTCCATTGGGTGGGACATCCACCTGGTTTCAAATCCACCTCCTATCCACCTGGTCTTTCAGCCAGGTGGATGCAGGTGGACGTTTTGTTTTGGCTGTGATCGATGGGCGAAGCCGGACGTGTCGACGGTGAATGCGTGTTGGGTTGCAGGTATGGAACGACGAGCGATTGATGTGGGAACCCTCGGATCACTCCAACATCAGCACGCTGAGAATGCCTTCCAATAAAGTCTGGATCCCCGACATCACGCCTCATAACGAGTGAGTGCTGAAATAGAGCTTCTAGGATCGGTCTTTGTCCATCGACTCTGTTCCTCGTCGGAGAGTCAGGAATCCGTCGCATTGAGCTCTCAAAACAAAAATATGCTCTCCAGCTCTAGGGTTCCTTTTCATCGAAGTCAATTTCCCAGGTGTTCGTTCTCGATTAGCTACAGTCCCAAAGAAAATATACGTATACCCGATAGTACGATATGAGCTCTCAAAACAAAAATATGCTCTCCAGCTCTAGGGTTCCTTTTCATCGAAGTCAATTTCCCCGGTGTTCGTTCTCGATTAGCTACAGTCCCAAAGAAAATATACGTATACCCGATAGTACGATAATCGTAGTCTTTGCAAGCGAAAGAGGCAGAAAGGAACAAAACCCGTTCAATGGAAACGTCAAGCATGATATTAAGATATTAAGCAAGATATAAGAACGTTTCGATGCACTCTGCTCGAGTCACTGGAGGATACAGGCACAGTCAGTGATGTGATCGGCACGAATGCTTAATGTATCAAGATCTAGCATCACTGTCAGGCTCTCGGAGGCACGTCGCTATCCCCTCTTCCCACTTCGTTGTAGGTCGAGGAGCGCATTGTGCTTCTCGATGAGAGATAAATTAAGCGCTGGCGTTCTACGTGATCCATCCGCATGATCCACGAGAAGACTCGCATTCCAGTTGCTTCTTTTAGTGAGCTCTAAGTAAGCCGACGTATCAAATGGGCGGTGAAGCACAAAATACTTTAAATACCTGTAAAATCATTAAATATTTGGTCTGAAAAGTACAAGCCACTTTCTAAAGAAAATATGACTTTAGGTAAAAATTACTTTTACTGATGTAGCTTGTGATTACACTGCAGAACATATGACCATTTATTCTCCCTCTTTCCTTTTAGCAGAATGCCTCATATCAGAACGTGGGAAAAGCCTACGGATTTCGGAATTCACTCTACCAGAGATTGGTCCAATCTGAATTCCATTCGAATTCGACTCATCGATGAATGAGAATCGTGATTTTACGAAGGGCGTACCAAAAGTATCGAGACTCTGGCTATAATTTCCTTAATGTGTTTGCCACGAAAATCTAATCAATTTTCCTTCAATGTGTAACAAAAACGCAATGCGCACTCAGAAGTACAAGTTGCTCTCTCTTATAATTAACAAAATACAAGCAGTGAAAGGAACACGTGCACCAGAAATTCCAGACGCGTCAACACATTCAGCCATCTTGTGGATCATCATGAACCTTCTCCACTAGGTCCCCTTTGAGGTGGACGCATTTCTGCCACTGCGATTCACACTTGCGAATTGATGCCCTGAACCACTCCTTGCCGATCCTGTTTAGCACAGCAACGAAGACAATGCGTCCACCTCAAAGGGGACTACGAATGCCTTGCAGGAATATTTTACTCTTCATTGAGAATGTCCCTGTTTTCTCTGTCTCTGGGAGTTAAACTTCAGGGGGCATAAAAATATAAATCATTCGTATCTGGAATGGTCGATTTAACATTCGTTCCAATTTGTAGCTTAATGAAGTTCTTGCGGCTGTGCTAATGCACGCATGCATCGGAATGTCAACTAATTTGACGCTAAAAGCCTTTGGAAAAAAAAAAATAAAATAACAAGAGTTATAGCATATATAATGTACAATTTAAAAAATAATAAATAATAATAATAATAATAATAAATGCCTTGGAAATGAAGGATTGGATTGTTCCAGGGCGACCGAGGACGAGTTCGATTCGTCTCTGCATCAACAGCTGTCATCCCACACTCTGGTGTATTCGAACGGGGAAGTTCTGTTCGTGCCCAACGTCGTCTTGAAGACGTATTGCCAGGGTGACCTCACTCATTGGCCGTTGGATCGGCAGGTGTGCAGCATCAAGTTCGGGTCCTGGGTCTACGACGGGAACCTCGTCAACCTCAGTCTCTATGGGAGTCCTGAGGACACCATGGTCGGTTTCGCGCCGAGGGGTGGGCGTCGTCGGGGGCTGCGTCCGATTTGCGAAAACGATTCATTCTTTTTTTTCCGCCAGGACATGCAGGATTATCGCGAATCGACGCATTGGACCGTGGTGGGCATGCCGACCGTGACCCGAGAAGAGATATTCTATTCCTGTTGCAGCGAGCCCTATATCGACCTGCTGGCGAACGTCACCTTCTCCCGCAAGCCCTCTGTTTTTTACCACACCGCTCTCTTCTTTCCTGTCATCGGTGAGGCAGTTTTTCACCTAGTGCAAGCAAACATGTCGACTTTTTGTATGCAACATCAATTCGTCGACTTTTCGCGAGGGAACGCTTGCAGCTCTCAGTCTACATTTTTCCGCATCGCATTTTCAAAGATTACTCTTCGATAAACCACGAGTCGCAGCGAGTGTCAGCGGAAGAAGAGAAATAATTCATGAGTTTTGGGTTCGTCGCCATTCAACCAAAGCAGAGTTTTTGCTTGAACTCTGGAGCCTCCAAATTGCTATTTTAAAAATCAGATGTCGAGTCTGCTATTAATTATTGGCAGCTGTCAAAAAGACTGTGCATTGGAGACCTGAGTCTGAACAAAAACTCTTCGAAGTGTTTTTGAAAGGATGGAAGGATTTGACAATCTATTAAGATGAGTGATTGAAGGGATCAATTGAAGGTCGATTTAAACCGAGTCTCTCCCCCGAACTTGCAAGGCGAAGAGGAAAATAGTTTCAAGAAAATTCCAAATATTCCGAGAAAGAGGAAATTTAATCTTATCGCGAACAGCCTGGCGTTTCATCCGATGTTTAACATCGGATCCTAGTGCTAAACGCGGCGGTTGGTGGGATATATTTTCAATTATAGGTCGAGAATGTGAGAGAACAGGAAAACTAAAACAATAATAAATACATATCTTTAAATAAATAAAATAGGTACAACTATGTCTAAGAACCTTGTAAAAATCCAGAATGAAAAAAGTGCGCCTCCCATGAATCGAAACGAAATCGCAAGTCGAAAGAGAAAAGAAACAGAGAAACGAAGCGACGATTCCTCGAACTCCTAGAACTAGAAAATGAGAGTTCAATCTATTCTCCCCCCCCCCCCTTCCAGGCACGGCCCTGCTGACCCTGGCCGCGCAGTGGTACCCGGCAGGTTCGACCCACCGCGTCATGTACTTCTACTTCTTGAAGAAGCAGGAGGAGCAGGAGGTCAAAATGGTATTGCGGAAGTAAGGCTACTGGCCCCGGTCGCTGTAGTTCTAGGCACTCCCCTTTAGTAGATTAAGCGGACAGAAATTTTCGCCTTTTGGCCATCACGAAAGGTTGTCTTCCTCTTGCAGTGACATTCATGAGAATCATGATGTGTCTGCAAGTGATCGGACTCATCTGGTCCCTCCTGACCCTCTTGATCGCGAGCACCCACAACGGCGTCACGTCCAAATTGGCCCAGTTGAGCCAGACCGCCTTAGGCAAGGTCTTCTGCCTCTTCACCGAGATACCCGAAGAGGTACGTCATCGTAATTACACATTTCCCGCTTTCCCGACCTTTTCTGACCTTTCCCCCAATTTTTCGTAGCTGCTGGAAGGCGAGGGAAAAGGAACTTCCGCCAGGACGGAGATCCTGGTCATGAATTTCCTGGACAGAATTTGCTTTTACGTCTTCCTTTTCACCATCGCCATCAATTTTGCCGTCAATTGGCCGCACCGTCAGTGAATGCGATGAACGTGGCGAATCGGGGGAAAACAATCAAATGGGTTCCTTAAGATCGTGACCTTGTGGAGTGATTTTTTTGTCGTCTGTGAAAATAGTCAGCTTCACCTGCTCATATATAAAAAAAAGCAATGGATAAAAAATTGAATCGACACGCGATGACAATCGATTAAACAAGAAAGCACAGACGTGTAAGATAAAGATCTTACATTCGAATGCAGTGAATCGCTAAACTTCTAGGTTGTAGCGAAAGTTTTTGTGCATAAATACAAAATTCACATTTTGAACGCTGTAATTTTATTGTTATTATAAATTTAATTATTTGTAAAAAAAAAGAAATCAAAATGTATTCATACGCGCCATAAAACACGCTTCAAAATGATACCAAATACGTATATAAACAAAAAAAATTATTTAGAAAATGATGCTGAAATAAATTTTGTATTTATGCACAAAAACTTTCGTTACAACCTAGTATTTGATAGCGTTTTATTTTACTAGGAGAAATCATAATTTTTTTTTATCATATTCACCAAACGGAACGCTCGAAAACCGAAGAGGCCCCAGATGAATATTGCTGATTAATCTGTGGATTAAATTTTTCCGCTTCTTGAAGCCTAGACCCTCGTGGAATGCCTTCGGAGTTGCGTTTGTATCCTTACGGATCCTGCCAACGTTGCTTGGCTTGGACGGCTTGAAACGTTGAAGATCCAGGGGATGAAGACTTGTGATGTTCTCGACCTGGTCACATCTGATGGGAATTCTCTAAAAACGAAAAAAAAGAAGCCTTTTCGCACGTTCTGTCTCTGAGGTCCGGGAGTCTCCCGGGCCGGACAAGCTCGGACTCGATGGGTCGTGGCTGGATGCGCCAGAGGAACGAAAACTCGTTCGTTGGAAGGGGATTCAGGGTTTTCTTTTTGGCTTTCCATTTTTTTTCCCCAAGGCCTTGTAGCCTTTCGGCTCCTCTACGTTGACGTCGGGACCAAGGAGAGTGACTTCATTGTCGAGGACAGAGATTTCGTTGTCAAGGACAGACCGTCGTTACCAAGGACTGAGACTTCATTGCCGCTGCAAGATATATCCAGAAAACAGATCGTGTTCATTTGTCATCTAAGGAATCTCGAAAGTTAAACTCGGCGCAAGATAGAACGATTAAGGGTCCTAAAAATAGACTCTCCCTTGAACGAAGTACCACCTAGTGATCAAGCTTTGCCAAGGTGTAAGCATTCAGCGCAATTAGCTTCCATTCTGCAGCGATTCTGTCAGAAGAATCGTTGTATCCAATAGACACATGAAGCAGCTTAACCCACAAAAGCTGCAGGCCGTAGTCGAGGATTTCTTGGTGGGAGAAGGGGATGGGGGCGGGGGGGAGGGGGGGGGGGAGAAAGGGGTTAGGATGAGCGCTATCAGGTTTCTTCATGGAACTTACAAATGGAATAGTCGCATCGGAAGCTGTCATGGGTCTGGATGAAAGTGCATTTACGATGACGCTCTGAGAAACTTTGTGGCTGCAGCTCTTATACAACAATATCAGAATGAAGGCTGAGCGTTAAGTAGCACTCGAGCTATTCGCATTCGGCCTCTAAGACTAAATTAAGGAATCGCTTGAATGAGTAAAACCAGCTCGAGGGATGGATTTTTTTTTCCTTCATCGAGATGGCTGCGCTTCTCCCACCGCGCAGATTGCGGGAAATTGCTCCGTTTTGTGACTAAGGAGTGCACAGCGCCGGGAACGTCGCCGTCTCATAAATTGGAGGGCTCCGAGGCTCGTCGCCCGCCTTGAGCCTTCCATCTGGCTGGTGTCAAAAGACCGAATATATAACGCATTCTCCCAAGTTTGTCAAGCAGTGGAGGTCGGGGAACGGCATGAGCTCTCAAAACAAAAATATGCTCTCCAGCTCTAGGGTTCCTTTTCATCGAAGTCAATTTCCCAGGTGTTCGTTCTCGATTAGCTACAGTCCCAAAGAAAATATACGTATACCCGATAGTACGATTATCGTAGTCTTTGCAAGAGAAGTCTTTGCATTCGGAGTCTTTGCGAAAAGGAACAAAACCCGTTCTATGGAAACGTCAAGCATGATAAAGTTATTAAGAACGTTTCGATGGACTCTACTCGAGTCACTGGAGGATACAGACACAGTCAGTGATGTGATCGGCATGAATGCTTAATATATCAAGATCTGCCATCACTGTCAGGCTCTCGGAGGCACGTCGCACATATGACGATTTGTTCTCTCTGTTTACTTTTAGCAGAATGCCTCACATCAGATCTTGCGAAAAGCCTAAAAAGAGAGTTAAACTTCAGGGTGCCTACAAATATAAACCATTCGTATTGGGAATGGTCGACTTAACATTCGTTCCAATTTGGAAGTAAATGAAAATTTTTGTGATTGTGTATTGGCATAACAGATAATTTGACTCGAAAAGCTTTTGGGAAAAAAATTAACAATGATGCTCACATATATATTTTCATAAAGTTAAGAAAAAATACAAAAAAGTTTTTTAAAAAAATTAAAATAAAATGACGCGAAAAACCTTGGAAACAGAAATCTAATCATCCAGGGTGAGCGAGGACGAGTTCGAATCGTCTCTGTATCAACAGGTGTCATCCCACACCGTGGTGAAATCGAACGGGGAGGTTCACTTCGTGCCCAACCTCGTCTTCAGAACGTATTGCGAGGGTGACCTCACCCATTGGCCGCTTGATCAGCACATGTGCGAAGACCGAATATATAACGCATTCTCCCAAGTTTGTCAAGCAGTGGAGGTCGGGGAGCGGCGAAGGTCAGACATCGGGATGCAATCGCTCCAGACTCTTTCTCGTTGTCGCCTGCCTCGCTTTCTTTCCTCGGTGAGAATTCTCCACCTTTCAGTTTTCGTTCTCGGTCGAGTGATTCACAGTTTGTCTTGACTTTCTTGATATCTCGCAGGGGGGTTACGATGTGCACTGCCCGAAAGCATGGCTTTTTTTAAAACTCGGCTACGAGACTACGATCCCGTCATTCCGCCGCTAATGATTGATCGGCAGCCTGTCGACGTCAAAGTCATAATAACCCATCGCTCTTTCGAACTGGTATCATGAAAATTAACTGGACAAAAATGCTCTTGCAAGTCAGTTGTATATGACCTTATGCTGCCTGAATCTGAACACAGTCCAATGAGTATCGATAAAGAAAAATTAAAATTAAAATTAAAATTAATTCTAATTTGGATTTTTTCGAACTTTTTTTTTGTACAGGATCGTTTAATCATAAAAGACAAAATAAAAATAAAAAAATAAAAATTGATACCAGTCCACAATGTCACCAGAACATCCTCTGATTGTTCGTTAGTTGTCTTTAAATAATGCAAACGGATTTGCTTACAATCGCTCATGAACGATTTTGGACACTTTGGATTGGTAGAGTAACTGCGAATGCAAACGTTTCAACGGTTCTTAAATATGCACGCAAATTCATGCAGGACGACCGAGAGGGTGAAGCCATCTGGAACATCCGGATGAGTACAGAAAGTTCAGAGTATTCATTTTTCCGCAAATGCGTTGAAGAGATAAAAAAAAAACTTTTGCCGCCGGATTGGACAGACGAGCGAATCAAGTGGAACGAGAACGAATACGACGAAGTAAAATCACTCAGATTCTGCGTCCATCAGTTGTGGAACCCCGACATCACCGCCGAAAACGTAGCTGAACTCGGACAAATAGTACGAGAAACAGAAAAGCGTGGCTGAATCCCTTTAAACCTCGCAGTGCTCGCCCCGCTGGCCGCCGAGAGGACGTCGTGCCCGGACGCGCTCGTAAACTGACCGCTCGAGCGGCATGGATGCATGCCGGCAGCCAATTCTTGGGCCTACGACGGATTTTTAATCGATACCATAACGGCCATGGACAGGTACGTTGCTAAAAGTCTCAGGCAGTCTCGCTTGCCCGATTCCTCGATCCTTGTGTTTATTGTTATTATTGTACCATGTCTTTCGATAGCATCATCAACTTTAATTTATTTTGTGCTAAATGCTCTGTAACCAATACGAGAGGAAGAACTTATTTTAAGAGCAATTTGAAGAACCTTCAAGCTAGGAAATCAATCCTGTCAGTAACTGATGACGAAACTGCATTGCTCCAGTATTGGCACTACAAGGAGGAACAAATAAACGGTTGCGGAATGCATGAGCTGACATTTCCGTGGTAGTTGATACTTTAGCTTCATATTTAAATCTTCAAAATTAAAGCAGAAAATCTCCTTCAGAGCTACAGTGGCTTGCGGGATTTTTTTTTTTCACCTCGCAAAAAGCCGTACCACACGATGGTCCGAGAAAAAACGAAACTTAAGAAAAAGAACCGACGAACGAAACATGAAAGCAACGGAGTGGCAATGGCAGACACGGAAAGGCAAGAGAAAGAAACGGTTCGAGTGATCGGTACGGAGGCCCTGCGACATATCAACACATGATGTGCCCACAAGGACGTTTCTAAAAGGCTTCCTCGTGAGGACTCACTCGACTGTCTCTGTCAGAAGATTCCTGTCATTCAGCGTTCGTGAAAACCTAGAACAAAAATGACTCGCTTCTTCCTCGTCGCGTGTGCCGTGTGCTTTATCGGTGAGGATTTTCGACCCCCAGATACAAATAGAAATTTGCGGGATTTGCGGAATTGCATGAACTCTGGAAAACTCATGCTCCTGCAATGTATCCGAAGGTCGCATTTAGTTGAATTGCTCTTTATAGGGGAAGCAGTTGGGATAACTCACGAGAGCACGAAGCATCTGAAAGACACTCTCTTGCAGGACTACGACTCCCTCGTTCCACCCATTCCGAGCGATGGGAAATCGGTCTTCCTCGAGTTTAGGCCAGTCGTCATAAGCTATCGCAGGGTGAGAAGAACTACGTCCCTTTCCTGCCAAAATAACAATTTCCTGCCAACTTTGAACCGTGTTCCAGGACGACCTGAAAGGCGAGGCGATCTGGCACCTCTGGATGGACTCGGTGAGTTCAGACACATTTACCTCCCTTACAAATGTCCACCCGTCATGAGGATTTGGAATCAGGTGGAACCTTAACGTATTTCCACCTGTTGAAGCGATGCTCACCTGGTTAAAAATTCATACGGGGGAACATCCACTTTCTCGAGAAAAACGCATGCGAACGGCCAGGTGGATTTCCATTGGGTGGGATATTCACCTGGTTTCAAATCCACCTCCCATCTACCTGGTCGTTCAACCAGGTGGATCCAGGAGTCCGTTTTGTTTGGGTTGTGATCGATGGGCGAAGCAGGACGTGTCGATGGTGAATGCGTGTTGGGTTGCAGAAATGGAACGACGAGCGATTGACGTGGGAACCATCGAATCACTCCAACATCAGTGATCTGAGAATGCCTCCAGATAATGTCTGGATCCCCGACATCTCGATTTATAACGAGTGAGTGCTGAAATAGAGCTTCTGAGATCGGTCTTTGTTCATCGACTCCGTCCTTCGTCGGAGAGAGAATCTGCCGCATTGAGCTCTCAAGACAAAAATATGCGCTGTATCTCTTGCGTTTCTTTGTAACGAAGCCAATTTCTCCGGTGTTCGTTCTCGATTAGCTACAGTCCCAAAGAAAATATACGTATACCCGATAGTACGATTATCGTAGTCTTTGCAAGAGAAGTCTTTGCATTCGGAGTCTTTGCAAAAAGGAACAAAACCCGTTCTATGGAAACGTCAAACATGATAAAGTTATTAAGAACGTTTCGATGCACTCTGCTCGAGTCACTGGAGGATACAGGCACAGTCAGTGATGTGATCGGCATGAATGCTTAATATATCAAGATCTGGCATCATTGTCAGTCTCTCGGAGGCACGTCGCACATATGACGATTTGTTCTCTCTGTTTACTTTTAGCAGAATGCCTCACATCAGATCTTGCGAAAAGCCTAAAAAGAGAGTTAAACTTCAGGGTGCCTACAAATATAAACCATTCGTATTGGGAATGGTCGACTTAACATTCGCTCCAATTTGTAAGTAAATGAAATTTTTTGTGATTGTGTATTGGCATAACAGATAATTTGACTCGAAAAGCTTTTGGAAAAAATTAACAATGATGGTCACATATTTTTTCATAAAGTTAAGAAAAAATACAAAAAAGTTTTTAAAAAAATTAAAATAAAATGATGCGAAAAACCTTAGAAACATCGAAATCTAATCATCCAGGGAGAGCGAGGACGAGTTCGATTCGTCTCTGCATCAACAGGTGTCATCCCACACCGTGGTGAAATCGAACGGGGAGGTTCACTTCGTGCCCAACCTCGTCTTCAGAACGTATTGCGAGGGTGACCTCACCCATTGGCCGTTTGATCAGCACATGTGCGACATCAAGTTCGGTTCCTGGGTCTACGACGGGAACCGCGTCAACCTCAGTCTCGACGGGAGTCCCGAGGACGCCCTGGTCGGTTTCGAGCAGAGGGTTGGGCGTCTTCAGGGCTGCTTGCAATTTGCAAAGACAATTCTTTTTATATTTTTTTTCTGCAGGATCTGTCGGCTTATCGTGAGTCGACGCATTGGAACTTGGTGGGCTGGCCGATTATGACCCGAAACGAGATTTACTATTCTTGTTGCCCTGAACCCTATATCGACTTGCTGGCGAACATCACCTTCTCCCCAAGCCCTCTCAAAAGATGGTGTGACGTGAGAAGAAAGGATGGTAGTCACTCCGTCAAAAAGTTGGCTACGTTTGTGCAGCTGTATAACGTACGATCCTGTAGTTAAACGTTAAGCGGCTGGAAAGTGCTCCCTGGCGTTGCAGCTCTCAGTCATTTTCTCGCATTGCATTTTCAAGTTAACTCTTCGATAAACCACGAGTCGCAGCGAGTGGCAGTAGAAGATATATATTTCATGAGTTTTGGGTTTGTCGCCATTCAACCCAAGCAGAGTTTTTGCTTGAAATCTGTAGCTTCCAAAATGCAAAAAAAATTGATGTTAAGTCTGCTATTAATTTTTGGCCGCTGCCAAAAGAAAAAACATTGTGCATTGGAGACCTGAGTCTGAGCAAAAACTCTTCGTAAAGTGTTTTTGAACAAATGAAAGGATTTGACAGTCTGTTAAGAAGATGAGCGATTGAAGGGATCAAATGAAGGTCAATTGAAACCGAGTCTCTGGCAAGACGAAGAAGGAAAATGCTGCAAGAAAATTCCAGATATTCCAAGAAAGGGAAGGCATTTGGAAATTTAATCTGCTAGCGAACAGCCAGGCGTTTAATAAGATGTTTAACATCGGATCCTCGTGCTGAACGCGGCTGTTGGTGCTATATATTTTCAGTTATAGCTCGAGAATTTGAGAAAGGACAGGAAAGATAAAACATTAATAAATATATTCAATATATTTTTTTAAAAAATCGGTAAGACTATGTCTAAGAACCTTGTAAAAATCCAGAATGAAAAAAGTGTGCCTACCATAAATAGAAAAGAAGTCGCAAGTCGAAAGCGATAGGAAACAGCGAAACGAAGAGACGGTGACTCGAACTTGGATTGGAAAATGAGCGTTCGATCTTTCCCCCCCCTTCCAGGCACGGCCCTGCTGACCCTGGCCGCGCAGTGGTACCCGGCAGGTTCGACCCACCGCGTCATGTACTTCTTCTTCAACTTCTTCGTCCTCCTCGTCCTCCAGTTTTACCATTCCGCCTTCATTCCGATGACCGGGGCCAGCGACATCAAGATCCGTGAGGGGAAATCATCTAATTCGCCTGTCTTTAAAAGCGGAAAAGGCCGTCACGAAAGGTTGTCTTCCTCTTGCAGTGACATTCATGAGAATCATGATGTGTCTCCAAGTGATCGGACTCATCTGGTCCCTCCTGACCCTCTTGATTGCGAGCACCCACAACGGCGTCACGTCCAAATTGGCCCAGTTGAGCCAGACCGCCTTGGGAAAGGTCTTCTGTCTCTTCACCGAGATGCCTAAAGAGGTACGTCATCGTATTTACATTTTTCCCCTTTTCCCGACCTTTTATTAACTTCCATGACCTTTCCCGACTTTTTTTTCCATTCTCCCTATGTTTCGTAGCTGACGGAAGGCGAGGGAAACGGGACTTCCGCCTGGACGGAGATCTTGGTCTCGAATTTCCTGGACAGACTTTGCTTTTACGCCTTCCTTTGCACCATCGCCTTCAATTTTGCCCTCAATTGGCCGCATCGTCAGGGAATGTGATCGACAGGAGGAATAATGGAACCAAAAGGCTTTTTGAGATCGTGACCTTGTGGAGTCATTTTTTTTTCTCATCTGCGAAAAGAGTCAGCTCTCTTCACCTGCTTATATAAAAAGTGATGGATATAAAATCGAGTTGACATGCAATAATAATTGATTCTTATTGCATATAATCATATGCATATTATTGCATTTAATCGATTATTATTGCACATTGCATCGCTTTTTATTTTACAAGGACATGTCAGCTTTTTTCATCTTCACCAAATGGAAAACGCTCAAAAACCGAAGAGGCCAAAGATGAATGTTGCCGATTTAAAGAGCCGTGGATGAAATTTTTCTGCTCCTTGAAGCCTAGACCCTAGTGGAATGCCTTGAGAGGTGTGTTTGTTTCCTTACGGATCCTGCCAACGTTGCTTGGACGGCTTGAAAGGTTGAAGATCCTGGAGATGACGAATCGCGATGTTCTGGACCTGGTCGTAGACACATCTAACAGGAATTCTCTGAAGACGAAAATCTTCTTCGCTCGATTCATCTCCGACATCCGGGAGTCTTCCGGGCCGGACAAGCTCGGATTGGATGGGTCGCGGCCGGATGCGCCGGACGAACGAATACTCCCTCACCGGAAGAAGATTCAGGCTTTATTTTTTGCCCTCAATTTTTTTTTTCGTGGCCTTGTAGCCTTGTGGTTCCTCTACGTCGACGTCGGGACCAAGGAGAGTGACTTCAGTGTCGAGGACAGAGATATCATTGTCAAGGACAGAACCTTCTTCGTCAAGGAGAACGATTTCTTTGCCAAGGACAAAAACCTCGTTGTCAAGGACAGGCCGTCGTTACCTAGAACTGAGACTTCATTACCGCTGCAAGATATATCCAGATAATAGATCTTGTTTATTTGCCATATAAGGAATCTCGAAAGTTAAACTCTGCGCAAGATAGAACGATTAAGGGTCCTAAAAATAGACTTTCCCTTGAACGTAGTACCACCCAGTGATCAAGCTTTGCCAAGGTGTAAGCATTCAGCGCAATTGGCTTCCAGTCTGCAGCGATTGTGACGGAAGAATCTTTGTATTCAATAAACAAACTAAGCAGCTTAATTTGCAAAAACTGCATACCGGAGTCAAGGGGGAGAAAGGGGGTAGGGGGAGAAGGGGGGAGGGAAGGCGAGAAGGGGGTTAGGGAGGGGAGAAGGGGGTTAGGAGGAGCGCAATCGAGTTCCCTTGTGGAACTTATAAATGGAATAATCGCATCGGTAGCTGTCATGGGTTTGGAAGAAAGTGCATTTACGATGATGCCCTGAGAAACTCTGTGGCTGCAGCTCTTATTCAACGATACCAGAATGAAGGCAGAGCGTTAAGTAGCACTCGAGCTGTTCGCATTCGACCTCTAAGACGAAATTAAGGAATCGCTTGAATGAGTAAAACCGGCTTGAAGGATGGATTTCTTTTCCTTCACCGAGATGGCTGCGCTTTTCCCACCGCGTGGATTGCGGGAAATTACTCTGTTTTGTGACTAAGGAGTGCACAGCGCCGGGAACGTCGCCGTCTCATATATTGCGGAGCTCCGAGGCTCGTCGCCCGTCAAGAGCCTTCCTTCTGGCTGGTGTCAAAAGACCTAATATATAATGCATTCTCCCACGTTTGTGGAGCAATGGAGGTCGGAGAGCGGCGAAGGTCAGACATCAGGATACAATCGCTCCAGACTCTTTCTCGTTGTCGCCTGCCTCGCTTTCCTCGGTGAGAATTCTCCACCTTTCAATTTTCGTTCTCGGTCGAGTGATTCACAGTTTGTCTTGACTTTTTTGATATCTCGTAGGGGGGTCATGAAGTGCACTGTCAGAAAGCATGGCTTTTTTGAAGAAAACTCGGCTGCGAGACTACGATCCCGTCATTCCGCCGCTGATTGATCGGCAGCCTGTCGACGTCAAAGTCATAATAACCCATCGCTCTTTCGAACTGGTATCATGAAAATTAACTGGACAAAAATGCTTTTGCAAGCCAATTGTATATGACCTTTTGCTGCCTGAATCTGAACACAGTCCAATGAGTATCGATAACGAAAATAAAAAATTTAAATTTAAAATTAAAATAATACTAATTTGGATTTTTTCGAATTTTTCTGTACAGGATCGTTTAATCATAAAAGACAAAATTACAATTCAAAAATAAAATTTGATAGCAGTTCACAATGTCATCGGAACATCCTCTGATTGTTCGTTAATTGTCTTTAAATAATGTAAACGGATTTGCTCGCAATCGCTCACGAACGATTTTGGACACTTTGGACTGGAAGAGTAACTGCGAATGCAAACGTTTCAACGGTTCTTCAATATACACACAAATTCATGCAGGACGACCGAGAGGGTGAAGCCATCTGGAACATCCGGATGAGTACAGAAATTTCAGAGCATTCGTTTTTCCGTGAATGCTTTGAAGAGATGAAAAAAAAAAGAACTTTTGCCGCCGGATTGGACAGACGAGCGACTCAAGTGGAACGAGAACGAATACGACGAAGTAAAATCACTCAGATTCTGCGTCCATCAGCTGTGGAACCCAGACATCACTGCCGAAAACGAGTAAGAACTCAGACAAATAGTACGAGAAGCAGAAAAGCGTGGCTGAATCCCTTTAAACCTGAGCGGCCTTGCCGTGCTCGCCTCGCCGGTCGCCGAGAGGACGTCGTGCCAGGACACGCTCGCAAACTGACCGCTCGAGGGGCATGGATGCATGCCGGCAGGTGAATTCTTGGGCCTACGACGGATTTTTAATCGACACCATGGCGGCCACGGAGTGGTACGTTGCTAAAAGACTCATGCGGTCTCGCTTGCCCGATTCCTCTCCTCGTGTTTATCCATGTCTTTCTGTAGCAACATCAACTTTAATTCATATTGTTATAAATGCACCGTCACCAATGCTAGAGGAAGAGCTTATTTTAAGAGCAATTTGAAGAGCCTCCAAGCTAGGAAAACAATCCTTTCACTAACTGATGACGAAATTGCATTGCTCCAGTTTTGGCACTAAAAGGAGGAACAAATAAAATACTTCATGAATTTTAACGAGTCCGGAATGCATGAGCTGAGATTTCCGTGGTAGTCGATACATAAGTTTCAAAGTTACATTTTCAAATTTGAAGCAGAAAGATCTCCTTCTGAGCGACCGTGGCTTGTGGGATTTTTTTTTTCACCTCGCAAAAAGCCGTACCACACGATGGTACCAGAAAAAACAAGCTGAAGAAAAGGGACCGATGAACGAAACATGAAAGCAACGGAGTGGCAACGGCAGACACGGAAAGGCAAGAGAAAGAAAAGGTTTGAGTGATCGGCATGGAAGCGCTGCAACATATCAACACGGGATGCAGCGCACAAGGACGTTTGTACAAAGGCTTCCTCGGGAGCACTCAGCTGTCTCTACATTGCCAGAAGCACCCTGTCATTCAGTGCTCGTGAAAGCTTCTAACTAAAATGTCTTGCTTCTTCCTCGTCGCTTGTGCCGTGCGCTTTATCGGTGAGGATTTTCGACCCCCAAATACGAATCGAAATTTGCAGGATTTGCGGAATTGCAAGAACTCTGGAAAACTCATGCTCCTGCAATGTATCAGAAGATCGCATTTAGTTGGACGCGATTGAATTGCTCTTTTAATTCGTAGGGGAAGCAGTTGGGATAACTCACGAGAGCACGAAGCATCTGAAAGACACTCTCTTGCAGGACTACGACTCCCTCGTTCCACCCATTCCGAGCGATGGGAAACCGGTCTCCGTCAAGCTGGGGCCAGTCGTCATGAGCTTTCGCAGGGTGAGAACGACCTCGTCCCTTTCCTGTCAAAATAACAATTTCCTGCCAACTTTGAACCGTGTTCCAGGACGACCTGAAAGGCGAGGCGATCTGGCACTTCTGGATGGACTCGGTGAGTTCAGACACATTCACCTCCCTTACAAAAGTCCATCCGCCAGGAGGATTTGGAATCCGGTGGAACCTTAACGCACTTCCACCTGTTGAAGCTATGCTCACCTGGTTAAAAAGGCACCCGGGGGAACATCCACCTGCTCGAGAAAAACGCATGCGGACGGCCAGGTGGATTTCCATTGGGTGGGATGTTCACCTGGTTTCAAATCCACCTCCCTTCTACCTGGTCGTTCAACCCGGTAGATGCAGGTGGCCGTTTTGTTTGGGTTGTGATCGATGGGCGAAGCCGTATGTGTCGACGGTGAATGCGTGTTGTGTTGCAGAAGTGGAACGACGAGCGATTGGCTTGGGAACCCTCGGATCACTCCAACATCAGTGAACTGAGTTTGCCTTCCGATAAAGTCTGGATCCCCGACATCACGCCTTATAACGAGTGAGTGCTGAATTAGAGCTTCTAGGATCGGTGTTTGTCCATCGACTCCGTTCTTCGTCGGAGAGTCAGGAATCTGCCGCATTGAAACAAAAATATGCGCTGTATTTCTTGCGTTTCTTTGTAACGAAGTCAATTTCCCCGATGTTCGTTCTCGATTAGCTACAGTCCCAAAGAAAATATACGTATACCAGACAGTACGATAATCGTAGTCTTTGCAAGAGAAGCCTTTGCAATCGTAGTCTTTGCAAAAAGGAACAAAACCCTTTCTATGGAAACGTCAAGCATGATAAAGATATTAATAACGTTTCGATGCACTCTGCTCGAGTCACTGGAGGACACAGGTACAGCCAGTGATCTGATCGGCATGAATGCTTAATACTAGTATATCAAGATCTGGCACAATTGTCAGGCTCTCGGAGGCACGTCGCGATCCCCTCTTCCTCCTTCGATGTAGCTCGTGGAGCGCATTGTGCTTCTTGATGAGAGATAAATTAAGCGCTGGCGATCTACGTGATACATCCGTATGATCCAAGACGAGATTCGCATTCCTGTTGCTTCTTTCAGTGAGCTGTAAGCCGACGGTGGTGATGCACAAAATACCTAAAATACCCATAAAAAAGTACTTAAAATCATAATATATTGTAACCGAAAAGTATGAGCCAATCTGCAAAAAACAACTGCTTTAGGTAAAAATTACTTTAATTGATGTAGCTTGTAATTACGTTGCAGAACATATGACCATTTATTCTCCCTGTTTACTTTTAGCAGAATATGAGATCGTGCGAAAAGCTTACGAAGAGAGTTAAACTTCAGGGTGCATACAAATATAAATCATTCGTATTGGGAGTGGTCGACTTAACATTCGTTCCAATTTGGAAGTAAATGAAATTTTTGGTGGTTGCGCATAGGAATGACAGATAATTTGACTCGAAAAGCTTTTGGGAAAAAATTAACAACGATGATCACATATCTTTTTTCATGAAGTTAAGAAAAAATACAACAAAAAAGTTTATTTTAATTAAAATAAAATGACGTGAAAAACCTTGGAAACGTAGAAATCTAATCATCAAGGGTGAGCGAGGACGAGTTCGACTCGTCTCTGCATCAGCAGCGGTCGTCCCACGCCGTGGTGCATTCGAACGGGGAGGTTCACTTCGTGCCCAACCTCGTCTTCAGAACGTATTGCGAGGGTGACCTCACCCATTGGCCGTTGGATCGGCAGGTGTGCGGCATCAAGTTCGGTTCCTGGGTCTACGACGGGAACCACGTCAACCTCAGTCTCGAAGGGAGTCCCGAGGACGCCCTGGTCGGTTTCGAGCAGAATGGTGGGAGTCTTCGGGGCTGCTTGCATTTTGGAAAGACAATTCTTTTTTTTCTGCAGGATCTGTCTTCGTTTCGTGAGTCAACGCATTGGACCGTGGTGGGCACGCCGATTATGACCCGAAACGAGATTTACTATTCTTGTTGCCCTGAACCCTATATCGACTTGCTGGCGAACATTACCTTCTCCCGCAAGCCCTCTCTTTTCTACCACACTGCACTCTTCTTTCCTACCATCAGTGAGGCAGTTTTTCAACCGATGCAAACACGTCGACATATTGCATGCTAGGACATCAATTTGCAATTCGCCGACCTTTCACGAGGGACCGCTTGCAGCTCTCTGTCATTTTCTCGCATTGCATTTTCAAGTTAACTCTTCGATAAACCACGAGTCGCAGCGAGTGGCAGTAGAAGATATATATTTCATGAGTTTTGGGTTTGTCGCCATTCAACCCAAGCAGAGTTTTTGCTTGAAATCTGTAGCTTCCAAAATGCAAAAAAAATTGATGTTAAGTCTGCTATTAATTTTTGGCCGCTGCCAAAAGAAAAAACATTGTGCATTGGAGACCTGAGTCTGAGCAAAAACTCTTCGTAAAGTGTTTTTGAACAAATGAAAGGATTTGACAGTCTGTTAAGAAGATGAGCGATTGAAGGGATCAAATGAAGGTCAATTGAAACCGAGTCTCTGGCAAGACGAAGAAGGAAAATGCTGCAAGAAAATTCCAGATATTCCAAGAAAGGGAAGGCATTTGGAAATTTAATCTGCTAGCGAACAGCCAGGCGTTTAATAAGATGTTTAACATCGGATCCTCGTGCTGAACGCGGCTGTTGGTGCTATATATTTTCAGTTATAGCTCGAGAATTTGAGAAAGGACAGGAAAGATAAAACATTAATAAATATATTCAATATATTTTTTTAAAAAATCGGTAAGACTATGTCTAAGAACCTTGTAAAAATCCAGAATGAAAAAAGTGTGCCTACCATAAATAGAAAAGAAGTCGCAAGTCGAAAGCGATAGGAAACAGCGAAACGAAGAGACGGTGACTCGAACTTGGATTGGAAAATGAGCGTTCGATCTTTCCCCCCCCTTCCAGGCACGGCCCTGCTGACCCTGGCCGCGCATTGGTACCCGGCAGGTTCGACCCACCGCGTCATGTACTTCTTCTTCAACAAGAAGCAGGAGGAGCAGGAGGTCAAAATGGTAAGGCGGAAGTAAGGCTACTGGCCCCGGTCGCTGTAGTTCTAGGCACTCCCCTTTAGTAGATTAAGCGGACAGAAATTTTCGCCTTTTGGCCGTCACGAAAGGTTGTCTTCCTCTTGCAGTGACATTCATGAGAATCATGATGTGTCTCCAAGTGATCGGACTCATCTGGTCCCTCCTGACCCTCTTGATCGCGAGCACCCACAACGGCGTCACGTCCAAATTGGCCCAGTTGAGCCAGACCGCCTTGGGCAAGGTCTTCTGTCTCTTCACCGAGATGCCTAAAGAGGTACGTCATCGTATTTAGATTTTTCCCCCTTTCCCGACCTTTTATGAACTTCCATGACCTTTCCCGACTTTTTTTTCCCATTCTCCCAATGTTTCGTAGCTGACGGAAGGCGAGGGAAACGGGACTTCCGCCTGGACGGAGATCTTGGTCTCGAATTTCCTGGACAGACTTTGCTTTTACACCTTCCTTTGCACCATCGCCTTCAATTTTGCCGTCAATTGGCCGCATCGTCAGTGAATGTGATCGACAGGAGGAATAGTGGATCCAAAAGACTTTTTGAGATCGTGACCTTGTGGAGTCATTTTTTTTTTCTCATCTGCGAAAAGAGTCAGCTCTCTTCACCTGCTTATATAAAATGTGATGGATATAAAATCGAGTTGACATGCAATAATAATCGATTAAACACGAAAGCATAGACGTGTAAGATAAAGATCTTACATTTGAATACAGTGAATCGCTAAACTATTTCATCGCTTTTTATTTTACAAGGACATGTCAGCTTTTTACATCTTCACCAAATGGAAAACGCTCAAAAACCGAAGAGGCCAAAGATGAATGCTGCCGATTTAAATGGCCGTGGATGAAATTTTTCTGCTCCTTGAAGCCTAGACCCTCGTGGAATGCCTTCAGAGGTGCGTTTGTTTCCTTACGGATTCTGCCAACGTTGCTTGGACGGCTTGAAAGGTTGAAGATCCTGGAGATGACGACTCGCGATGTTCTGGACCTGGTCGTAGACACATCTAGCAGGAATTCTCTGAAGACGAAAATCCTCTTCGCTCGATTCATCTCCGACATCCGGGAGTCTTCCGGGCCGGACAAGCTCGGATTGGATGGGCCGCAGCCGGATGCGCCGGACTAACGAATACTCGCTCACGGGAAGAAGATTCAGGCTTTATTTTTTGCCCTCAATTTTTTTTTCGTGGCCTTCTTTGCAGAAGAAAGTGCATTTACGATGAAGCCCTGAGAAACTCTGTGGCTGCAGCTCTTATACAACGATACCAGAATGAAGGTTGAGCGTTAAGTAGCACTCGCGCTGTTCGCATTCGACCTTTAAGACGAAATTAAGGAATCGCTTGAATGAGTAAAACCGGCTCGAGGGATGGATTTTTTTTCCTTCATCGAGATGGCTGCGCTTCTCCCACCGCGCAGATTGCGGGAAATTGCTCCGTTTTGTGATTAAGGAGTGCACAGCGCCGGGAACGTCGCCGTCTCATAAGTTGGAGGGCTCCGAGGTTCGTCGCCTGCCTTGAGCCTTCCATCTGGCTGGTGTCAAAAGACCTAATATATAACGCATTCTCCCACGTCTGTCAAGCAGTGGAGGTCGGGGAGCGGCGAAGGTCAGACATCGGGATGCAATCGCTCCAGACTCTTTTCGTAGTCGCCATCTCCGCTTTTTTCCTCGGTGAGATCTTCCAGTTTTGATTGATTCACCATTTGGATTGAATTTTTTTGTTTCTCGCAGGGGGTCTTGGAGTGCACTGCACGAAAGCATGGTTCTTTTGCCGCATACTTGACGCCAATACTTGACGAAAATGAAGACCGGAAGGAAGGATGGACGTCTTACTCCGGGAAATTGCAGGATTGCCGAAGATTAACTGCGCGATTGCAGTGGGACGACAGGTGGCGCAAAAAAATGAGTCCTGTTTGGGGACTCATAGAGAATAATTTAGATTCATGATTTTTCTTTTCGTACCCCCCCAAGAAACTGTACGTTCGTTGTTGAAAGTTGCATGCATCTAAACCAGGGGCCTGCAACCTTCATTGGCAGCGGGCCGGCCCACAGACTGCAAAAGAAAAGGCTCCCCCTTTTTCCCCTCAGGGCACACGAGACCATAAAGTCGCGCCGATCACCCGACGACCCTTACCCCCGCCACACCCCTACGAAATTCCAACGCCCAAAATTGGCCTTTGGCATCGAGAACCTTCTTCCTCTAGACATATGTTGCGCCCCCGCGTCAGGAATAATTAGGTGAAGAAAGTGGAAGGACTCCATCTATCTCTAGTTTAGTTATTTAGAGATGACCAAAGTTGAGATGGACCTTGGGCGGCAAACAAAATAATCTTATCTGCTATCCTATTTATGCATTACCGGGCCGCAAGAAGCAGGTCCACGGGCCGCGGGTTGCAAATCCTTCATCTAGATCAGGGGTTCTTAACCTGGAGTCCATGGACCCCCAGGGGGGCCGTGGGGTAGGTCCAGGGGTCCGTGGAGGGTCCATGGAAAATTAAATATATAATTGAAGGTAGCTCCCAAGAAACTTCATTTATATAGTATTTACAAATCCAGGTTTTCCAAAGTTTCTGATAACCGTGGGGGGGGGGGGGTCTATGGGTAATACTTTAGGATCCGTAGGTGCAAAAAAGTTAAGAACCTCTGATCTAGATGGTCTGAATAAAAAGCGAATCGAAGTGGAATCATGAAGTCTTTTTCACGCATGAATGGAATTTCAGGACGATTCATATGACATTTCCTTTGAGACCGTAAAGGCTGCTTTTTATGCCATGTCCTCGTCCCCGTATTCTACGTCGTAGCATCAGAATCGATACTACGACGAGGACATGGCATAAAAAGCAGTCTTTATGGCCTCAAGGGAGAGAAATGACGTTCGCGGTGTCGAAACCGCCGCACGCACGGGAACTCCACATTTTATGACTCCATTTCGGATGACTCTCGCTTTTCATTCAGGCACTTTTTTTTGCGCCACCCAGTACGTCTTGAGAGACGAAGCTCACGGAGGCGTGTCTCAGGTTCTCATCATTACAGGGGAATAATTTATTCGTAAGATACGGTAGATGATCGCCGGAAGGCTTTCGTCCGAATGGGATTCCAGCTCGTACGACCAGGAAAATTAGTGGCGCGGGAGTAATCATTTCCAAGAGGAACATCTTGCTTGAGTAAGTTCTTGGGCATTGCTAAATAGCGACTGCAGCGCCGACCTTAAAGAGTGGAAGGGCGAGAATCACGGATCGATCCGTCTCATTTCGGGGAAGGCATGGCAAGGAAAATGTCATTGGAAAATGTATCAATGGGAGCTCGTTCATTGGGGTAATTATCTCAATTCGCGAGAGATAATTGGTTAAATTAGAGGTGCACGTGATTCAAGGTCGCGCGATTAAATGGCAAATTGGTCGTCATGAAAGAAACGGAAAGTAATTGTAGACCGGGGGGGGGGGGGAAGGTGGGGGAGGGGAAGGTGGGAAATGTCTTCATAGTTGAAGGAGGGAGTGGAGGGAGTGGAGGTCGCCGTCTGTCAAGAGCGTGCCTCCGTTTCCTCAGATTAGTTATGTGGATGAAGGCCCTGGGAGCTATATCAGTAAATTTGTCCGAGACGCGAAATTACGTTGAGCCGTCACGGGGTAAGGGGACGGCGTGATGGGCGAGAGGGAGTTACAGCTTCCGGACGAGAGGAGGAAAATATGGCTCGTGGAGGTCAGCTAAAGTGGCCACGTCGGCCACCAAAACGGCGAAATCGACGAGAATAGGCTCGGGTGGGAAAAAGAGGGATTAAGGGCTTATCGAGAGATCAAAGACCGGAAGGCATGCTCATTCGAGGTGGTTGATCGTAATAATCGTGGGCTTCATCCGGCATTAAATGACCTCGCCGAACTCGTAGTTCTGTCATACATGGCCTATTTGAGGTCTATATACAGTAAAACATTTCGTTAAATTGTGGAGACCAACGAGTGAAGCGGATTCAACAGCACTGGCGGGAATTCTCAATCGCGCTACTATAACCATTTGGGAAGACTTTGAGACGAGCAGACGAGGGGGAACCAGTTCGTGTGAGTCTCAAATAAGACTCAAAATGCGGAATCATTTTCTTTTCTACGTCGGAAAGGGATGGGTTGGGGGGAGAGGGGGGGCAGCAGCCCCTCTCGTGAACAGCTTTAAGAGGATAGGTGCCTTTATCGACATAACAACAAAAAGGTGAAAGCAAACATGCCCCAAATTAGGAAGGCAGTAGATGCACACGCCCACCACAACCGCGCATGTTCGTAGGCGGAGGCCCATCCTCGATCGGAACGGAAGGAGGGGCTCTCGACCTCGACCGGAGGTGACAATGTGGGCGCAGATGCATGTTCGCGTCCCGACCCCGACCTTCACCCTTCGACCTTAAGCGATTGCTTCGATGGAACTTGAATTTCGCCGGTCCGTGAGAAGAGACGAGGGTCTTCCCTCGCGACGGAAATATAGTTTCTGTAAACATGCTGCCGCGGTGATTCGCATAGTTATTTTGCGAGATCGTCCGCTTTTCCCGACGTGCCGATTTTCGATGGATCCATCTTTCGATGGAGATAATTCTGGAAAAGGAAGGTCTACCGGATATTTTTCGATCTTACTCAGCAGAATCCGTTTCAGATGCTCGGCGGGAATCATATGCAGGGGGATGGAGTGAATTAAGAGGGTGGTCGATTCAAATAAACTGCATCGGGCCGTTAGGATACACGCATGAAACAAAATGAAGTCTTGTCAAATAACTTAATATATGGCTAGGGATTGTCATTCTCTGGTCATATCAGTGTTTCTGGAGCTAATCCCAGAGAGTCGACCGGTAAAAGAAAGTGTGAGGGAGATAAGAATGGATACCAAGACTCTAGAGATGACAATTTCGCAGGCAACAACCGCGGATATCCTGGGAAAAGCAGCCATTTGCCACGAGCAGAACGTGTTATTGCCGTTACCGAACTGAAGCGACCATCCCTAAAAAAAAAACGTAGGCATAAAATAAGCACCACTGCGATCGCACGTTCCGTTTGTCTCTATTCGTCTGCTTGCATCCCGAGCATCTCGAGCGGAGTTTCTCTTTTGGATTAAAAACGATAGTTTCGAGTGACATGGGGGTGAGGGGATCCTGGGATGGCGTTAGGCTCAGCATCTATCTCTTAATTCCCTTAATTCATCTTCCTTCTCTCTCGATCTGGATCTTCCCTCGATCGAAGATCATTCGGCTTACTTCTGTCTCCACTCGTTACGCCACGGGGCACGACGAGGCGTGTGTGCAATCTGCTACGATGCAAGTCGAGCCGCAATGAGCTGTGCGACGCTCCAAACCTGCTCCAAACCACAAATTGAGGCGTTATCTCGCTTGCGACGTCTTTTAATAAGGAGTTTCCGGGATACGAGGTGATGACGCTGGGAGGCCTTTTGCTTCCACTCGGGTCCTGCCAGGGCGTCGTCTGCTTTCGCTTCGGTTTCCTCGTCCTCCTGCTGCTTCGAGGCGATCATTCTTCGTTCCCGTCGACGGCGGGAAGGATGTCCGCATCTGTGAGAATTCATTTTACGTTTTCATCCATTCGGAATGGATGAGTCCGAAAGGAGTTCCTCGTTTCCTTCGCGACAGTCCGTTTCACTTCGCTCTTTCGTTTCACTTGGCTCTTGGGCTCTTGGGCCCTGGCGCTCTTTTTCATTGCGGACGAGTCGGAACGATTGTCGCGAGGGATCCCGGGCAGCGTCTTTTGCTCGTCCAAAGGAGAATCCAGAAAGGTAACTCGACTCTCGTCGTCTCCGTTCGTAACCCGATTCGTTTGTCTCGACGACTCCGCAAGTTTTTGTCGACAGGCTCGGGATGAGCAAAAAAATCCCAGGGAGTCTAGAGTCGCGTGAACGCAATTCCTCCCATCGAATTCCATTATTCCTCCATCGAATTCCATTATTCCTTGTCGCCGTCGTCGTCAACTTCGCTTCCGATTGGCCCTATCGAGATTTGATGGCCTGCGAAGTATGAGCATGGTCTGCTAATTATTGGGCACGTCAACCTGTAATATATTATTCATGCAATCGTGTTCTGTGATCTCTTTCTCGACTGTTCAGGAGTCTCGCTGAGGAACTCCATGGATTTCCCCTTGGGATTCCTGGAG